AGTTTTTTTTTTCTCTTGTCTTTCTTTTTCTTCTCAATCCACAAAATTCAATCTCATCTTATTAAGTTTGTTTTTCGTGAAATTCAAATTCATGTTTTTAATCTAGTTTTGAGAGAAAGATATGAGATTTAGTTTAAAATAGAGAAAAACGTGATCTGAGAAAAGAGATCTGAAAAACGAGATCTGAAATCTGAGAAACGAGATCAGAGAAAAAAATGTTGAGATCTGGAAAAAAAAATTGAGATCTGAAAAAAATAATGGATAAAAAAAGTGAAATCTGGAAAAAAAAACGGACAGAAAAAAATTAAAAAATCAAATTATATGAGTCAAAGGACAAAGACAATATAGGAATACTGAAAAAGAGAGTGACATTTTTGCAAAACTTAAAAAAGATGGCATTTTTGTAAAGTGGCATGGAGCATGTGGTATTTTTTAAAATTTCTCACGAATATTTATGAATTATGTGATGAAAAATAAAAAATAACTAAAATACTATATAATTAAATAAAAAAAATAAATTTAATATTAGTAAAGTCATAAACTATAAATAATGTTGTTAACCATCACATCACATAAGTACATGATTTATAATTGTATTTGATTAATGTCATCGTTTTATTTCTCACATATATTTATACTCGCCAAACTTTATACAATATTAACTTAATAGTAAACAAAATAATTTTTTTTTAACTTATATAAATTTTCAATATATACACTTGGAGAGTATCAATGGCTTTTTTTTTGCATGGTTGTGTATATATCTTTAAACTTTTAAATTCAGATTTTTATAACTTTTATAACTTTTTTTTTCAATTTATATACTTTTTTTTATTATTCATCTTTTTATTTATTTTAAATGATATTTTTACTCAGTATGTATTATGAGAAATTTCAAAAAAATGCCAATTTTCAAATGCTACTTTACAGAAATGCCACTTTTTAAAATCTTTACAAAAATGCCATTTTTTCAAAATTATTTTTTCATTATATAATTTATGTTTGGATTAACTATGTTATATTAGGATTTAGTTTTAAGTGTTTAAGAGATTTTAGATGTCAAAACATTTTTTAGAGTTTAGAATTTTAAGATATAAGCTTTATAAATCTATAATTAGT